GATGGCGCCCCTCAAAATGATGCTGCCGCCCCTAAAAGTGCTGGTGCCGCCCCTTACAGTGTCAGTGGCGCCCTTCAAAGTTTTGGTGGAACTCATCAATACAATGTTGCCGCCCTCTAACTTTCTGTAACGCCCCTCCATATACATAATGGTGCCGCTTCTCAAACCATCCGTGGCGCCCCTCAAAGTGATGGTGCCGCCCCTTACAGTGTCGGTGGTGTCTCCTCAAAAGTCAAGGTGCCGCCTCTTAAAGAAATGCTGGTGTCCCTCGAAGTGTCGGAGGCGCTCCTCAATGTCATGGTGCCGCCCCTCAAACCTTCCGTAACGCCCCTCCACGTCATGGTGCCGCCCCCCCCCCAATGTGCTCACGGCGCCCTTAAATGTGATAGTAACGCCGGTCAAAGTGCTCCTGGCAGTGTCGGTGGCGCCCGTTATAGTGTCGGTGGCGCCCCGAACAGTATCGGTGGTGCCCCTCAAAGTGATGATGTCATCCTCAAACAAACGATGGCGCCCTTTGAAGTATCGGAGTCCCTAAATATCATACCTATTGCCGCCCATTAGCGATCTGTAGCGCCCCTCCATATGATGGAGCCGCCCCTTAAAGTATCCGCGGCTGTCCTTAAAGTTACAGTGCCGCCCCTTACAATGTGGGTGGCGTCCTCAAAATAAAAGTGATGTTGCCCCCCCCCCCCCCCCCCCGAGTAATGTTGGCGTCTCTTCTTATCGCAGTATGTGGGTGGCGTCTCTAAATATCGGAGGCGCTCCTCATTGTCATTTTGCCCCACATCACTGCTCACATGGCGCCCTTCAATGTAATGGTGCCACCCGTCAACGCTCAAAGAGATAATTGCGCTCCTCACAGTGTCGGTGGTGCCCCTCAAAGTGGTTTAGGTCTTCACAAAAATTAATTTAAAATTTTACCTGAGGTCAAGTTCATGACCTCACCAGAAATAAAACATGTTGCATACCAGTCGATCCGTATCGTCAAGCTTCAAACATTCACGGTGTTTTATGGCTCTATCTACATAGAACGGTGGTCGGCAGGTCGCACGAGTGGTGCCCACTTTATGGGCGCTGGACGGGGCCATTACCCCCACTTGTCATACCCCATTGCTTACACAGCAAGGGTCGCTGATAATCGGCCATATCCTTTGACGCCTCTATTTTTCTGCATATAAATAAAATGCAACACAATTAACTCTCTTTTTATGGAGAGGGAGAGCGGGTGGAGTAAGGATAAGCTCATACATTTTTTATTTATTAGTTACTCGCGTAATGAACAGCGTATTGCAACGATACGTTCATCCCCCCCCCCCCCAAGTTAATGAATGTTATACCTACCTACTCAAACATTTTCGTGACCCCAGTGACATTTTCATTGAGTTTTTGAAATTTGAATGACCCTCACTCGGTAACTTTCTCTCCGGCTCGACCGGCGGACAAAAAGCAAGCGAAGACAATGCGGGGAGACGGTGCTCTACCAACTGAGCTACGGAACAGGCAAATGCTCACCATAGATACACCGACTGAACGATCCCTTTATAACTTCAGCGATTGATAAGACAAACAGTGTGTAACTGTATATATAAAATGTAAGTCTCGAAATTGCGATATCTTTGACCAAAGGTAAGGACAATTTTGCGACCCTTCCATTAGGTATAAGGCAATGGGAGAAAATCAGGGCATGTGCCTCTTTTTATAGGTAGAAAAATGTCAAAGTAACGAATTCAAACATCAGAAAACAATAAAAATGACACACCTAATCGGAAAATTGCCACCCACGACCCCTCGTTATGTCCTTGAGGTCATGTCAGGTCATGGAAGGCCTCCAGCAGTTTTTTTTCTCAATAACTTCTGATAGAGACATGCGACATGCCTGAGCGATGAAAACACCTTAGATGATTTCAGTTTGACGAAACAAATGGATTGATATGCAACATGACCTTTACCAGTCAGGTCATGACCTGGACCTGAGCTCTAATTTCCCTAATGACATTTGAATGTCAAAATATAGTTCATTCGACGCATCTCGACGAGAGGAGCACAGTACTGAAAAAACAATGTCATAATTTTCGTGAGTTTGCCTCCAGCAGACTCACAAAAAACTGCCTCCAGCAGTTTCTTTTTTCAATAACTTCTGATAGAGACATGCGACATGCCTGAGCGATGAAAACACCTTAGATGATTTTAGTTTGACGAAACAAATCGATTAATATGCAACATGACCTTTACCAGTCAGGTCATGACCTGGACCTGAGCTCTAATTTCCCAAATGACATTTGAATGTCAAAATATAGTTCATTCGACGCATCTCGACGAGAGGAGCACAGTACTGAAAAAACAATGTCATAATTTTCGTGAGTCAATAATTGTTACAGTAAAAAGGTTCTTCATTAAAACAGCTCAGTAGAGGGGCGGAGGGGGGTCCATTGTCCACTCCAACCCTCCCCGGCCCGGCACGGGTTAAATCAAGTTGTGCTCTGGAGGTTAAGCCGTTGATGTTAAGTCAAGTCTGAGAACTTTATAGGAACGTTGAAGAGCTATCGAATGCGCTTTTTTCGCGGTGCTGTAGTTCTATTCTTCTCCGAGTTTTGCGCCAGTTTGTCAATACTCAATAGATGTTGAAACAGACAACATTTCACCCACATTTCACCTTTGATGATCTCTGGTCACCTGATATTTGACTTGACCTAACCAAAGTACGGTTAACCAACTAACCCAAGTAGTTTTTGACACTCTGCCGAATACCGCTTACCACGTGTCGCTCGTGGCCCAGTAGCCAAGTTATAGGGGTCGGGAGGGGGTTCAAACAACCTCAGCCCGGCGCCGGCTAAGGGAAAGCACTATCATTTTGGGGGCGCTGCAGATATGCTAAGGGACGACAGCATCATTTTGAGGCGCGCCACCAACTTTTTTTTAGGGCACTTAAACCACTTTGAGGGGCACCACCGACACTGTGAGGAGCGTAATTATCTCTTTGAGCGTTGACGGGTGGCACCATTACATTGAAGGGCGCCATGTGAGCAGTGATGTGGGGCAAAATGACAATGAGGAGCGCCTCCGATACTTAAAGAAGAGACGCCAACATTACTCGGGGGGGGGGGGGCAACATCACTTTTATTTTGAGGAATTATAGTTCAATTATCGCATTATGACGGGAGAAATACTATATCCCGGAAAAATAAACGTTATACCGCTGAGCTTAGGTTGAATCTGAAATCATTACTTAGAAAGAGTTATAAAAGAACCGTCGAACGTGTCTTTTTTGGTCATTAACCCTCGCCCTGGCAGGGCATTATTTTTCATAACACGGCCTGGCAGGGGGGGGGGGGGTCGATGCGACTCCCCTCGCGATTGGCTCCTATGGCACCTAGAAGCACCAAATTTGGTAGGTAGGTGGGCCCTCCGAAGTTCTCGCCCCTGTGCAAATTTGGTTGTTCTAGGACTCTAGGTCAATATTTAGGGGGTTTTGAGGGTATAATTGTAAAAATTTCGCTAAAAACAGGTCAAAGGTTTTTCACTTATAACTTTTAATGTAATTAAGATAGAGTGAAAAGAAAAGCACCGGTGAACTCAGCACGTCAAGGCGCGTCGAATGATATGCTTGTTTGCTTGCATAAGTGTACTTAAAGTTTTTCTTAATTTCTAAGTAAACTTTAATTAATTAATTAAGTTCAAGTTAACCAAATTGCATCATATTGCATATCATTCGATTCGGCTGATCACCAGGAACACAATGACACCATTTTCTAAGCTCTAGCGTTATTAAGTGCCAAAGTTATTGGCAAAAACGTCATTTGACCTCAGTTGACCTCATTTGACCTGACCCATGGATAAGCACACCAAACAAAGAAGCACCAAGTGACCTGCTGTTAAGAACTGTGGTTTCAAAGCACAACAGTGATAGAACGAAGCGGATATCTCCAGGATTTTCCGAATTTAGTATTTTCCCATGGGCTTAACATTACGACGTAATGACCTCTAACTGACCTCAGGTCAGTGACATAAAAAAACCCGAACTATGTATATGTTATACAACTCGGTGAACTTAGCACATCCTGAAAGTTTGAAGGAAATCAGTTCAAAACTGTGAGTTGGACAGGTGCAAAAAGAAAAATGAAATTTGACCATGACCTTGTACCGGTTTTTCTGACCTGGTGACCTGACCCAAGGTCACCCGGACCTGAAATTTTCAGGTCATATGTAAAAAGGTTGCTCCATAGGCTGTGCCAAATTTAACGGCGCTGCGCGCCGCCGTTTTTACGCTATCTTCGAAAAACCTTAGGGGGGGGGGATCGCATCGACCCCCCCCCCTGCTAGAGCGAGGGTTAAATATCAGTAGGTATGCCGCCCCCTCAGATGCCAAGTGCCGCCCCTATGAGTGCAAAATGCCGCCCCTAATTGTGATTGCCGACCCAGTGAAAATCCCTTATAATACGCCCTGAGGCTGCCCCACTCCCCCCCCCCCCCCAGCGCCTATGCGCCCGATACGAAAGGTCCGAAAGGTCCGAAAGGTCTCGCCTGCAGATCTGACTAATCGTATCCGACTGAATCGGCCCCAAGATTCGCTAGTGAAGTCAAGCTCCGTCCGGTTGGGGTTGGATTAAGTGAGCATTTCGTTCAAAGAACTTTGTCCAACTGGACATTGTAGCTATCTTATATCTAGACAGTCTTAGAACGGAGGGTTGGGACTTGGGGTCGACGCCGTCTGAGAGGTCCTGGAGCAGACGGAGCTGGACGCCTGGTAGAATGTCGAGAGTGAGACAGTTATTTGAGGGACCGCCAGCGCCTGACAGACCGGACTCGGCTCAAGCACCTTGTCCTTGGAAAAATTGAGATAGACTAAACTGACCATTTGACTCAATTCTCGCTGCAGGTCGAGCCACTGGCTTTTTGAAAAGGGCAAGGCACTTCATTCGCTTTATTAAGCACCTTTCCGGCTCCTTCCTTTATATCGGTAGAAAAATACTTGCCGTTACGAAATTCCCTTCAACAAATGTGTGAGAATTTGGTAGCACTGACTCGGCGCTTGGTGGTTTTGTGACGACGAGCACCGACGCTTTTTCTGTTTGGGTGGGGGCTGATAAGTCAAGCCGCCCTTGGAATTTCTAAACATTCCAGTCCTGTAAATAACCGATACATTTTCTGCGGGAAGATGGTAAGTACTCTCTCCATTTTTGTCTGCTTGCTATTTGCATCGAGGTTGTCCGTCGAAGAAAGCTCTTCAATGTCCGGCGCGCTGAATTTGTCTACCGGCCTCACCCATTTTGTGGTTTTGATGACTTTGGTCAAAATGAATGCTTCATTGTCAAATATTTCACATAATATTCACATTTTCAAGCTCCATATGATGGCTTCAAGAACTTAGTTCAATGATGCTGATGGTGTTTTCACTGATTATTTTGTAAATCACTGATTTTGCAGTCATTTTGTTGCCTTATGCTCACTCATTTTTCATTTTGTCTAGTGAAATCAGTTGGGGAAACTATGGTAAAATCTGCTATTTTTAGCAGTCTGCTATTTTTAGCAGAAATCTGCTAAAAATGGGTACGCATGTGACGTCATCGTACCCAAATATAGCAGATTTGGGTACGGCCCCCGACAAAAGCAGATCTGCACCCTAATTGAAGCAAATGCGCATCAAATGCCTGGCAGATTCATGATTAGAATAGTGCTGAGAATGTCCTCTGATATTTTTGTTCAGATCCGACTATTTTTAAATAATGAATTTGAAAATAGTCGGATCTGAACAAAAATAGCAGAGAACACTCTCAGCACTATTCTCATCATGAATCTGCCAGGCATTTGATGCGCATTTGCTTCAATTAGGGTGCAGATCTGCTTTTGTCGGGGGCCGTACCCAAATCTGCTATATTTGGGTACGATGACGTCACATGCGTACCCATTTTTAGCAGATTTCTGCTAAAAATAGCAGACTGCTAAAAATAGCAGATTTTACCATAGTTTCCCCGACTGAAATGCAACTAATGCAAGATCTTGAAAGATGGTTTGATTGTGAAAAACTTCATGTTATGCTCCTTGACTTGCATGCTATTAATTTTATGAACGTAGAACTTGTAAAAGGTTATTTGCACTGAAAGACTGTATTTTCTGTATTGGTAGAGCTGGCCTGATCATCAGCTTATCTAACCTAACCTAACCTGCCCTTCACCTACAACCTACCAATCAACCTGGGTTCAACCAATTTTAATGTTGAGTCAATGTGTGTGCTACTAGGGCTGCCAAAGCAGTGCTTCAAGTTAAGTTCAGTTGGGGAAACTACGAGGCTAAAGTAAAAAAATCGATTGGTCAATAAATGGACTTTTGATGACCATATATCCCGGCAGGCGGTGGGCCTACCAGCCACCTTCCGCGCGGTGGGGGGGGGGGCACTTTTTGCCCCCCCCGTATCTCCGAAACTACTGGACGGATCCGGAAAATTCAAACGGCGTTCGATAGCCCTGTCAAATTTGTCGAAGGAAACCAAATTTCATTGACCTCGGGGTCACCGATGACGTCACAGGTCAGGTCAAAGATAAAATGTTTCACCGTTCACGGGGCTTCTAGGGAAAGCGCTATAACACCGAGTAAAACGCATTTTGTCGAAAATCAGCGATAAGGCGTCAGTTGTCTAGTACATATGTTGCTATTAGAGGTCACTGGTCATACCAGGGCAGGTCACAGGTCAGGTCACCAAAGGTCGCCAAGGGTCACCACATGAGCCCAACTTTACTAAGGTTATGCGATGCATGTTTTATGGCCAGTTTTTCATTTCGAACTCAATGGTGTTGGTTATAAGACCATCAGGTACGGTTTAGGTCACTTTCTGGTGGAGGTCAGGTCAAGGTCAGGTCAAAAAAGGTCATATTTCAAAGTTGATATTTTTGCATAAAATGGGTATCGCTTCGATGCAGCTCGTCACGGGGAGTCTAATGGTGGTCTTTGTTTTGCGCTACGAGGTCTAGAATTGCTAAAAATTGAGTTTGAAAATTTGACGTCATCAATTTTGAACAGTTTTTTCGCTATAACTTGGCCAAAAAAAGAGGTATCGATCTCAAATTTGGTATGTAGATAGAAGATGGTATGGGCTATCACATATATTCCGGTTTTTTCGAAAATCAAAAAACTTTTTGGATTTTTAGGCTATTATATTCAAAAAATCTATTTTTTGATTTTTGGGGGTCAAAATCCAAAAAATTCGAAAAACCGAAATAGCAGTTTTGTAGCCCTCTTAATTCCACACCTTTTATGTTGGAAACATTTTTCTGTATCTCTAAAGCTGTAGGCCTGACAGCTCTTCCCGCGAAACCTTTTTTTGGGTCGAAAATGGCAAAAATGACGTCACTCTGACGTCATTAGCGGCCAACCTATCATAGCCTTTGGAAAAATTTTTGGTCACCATGTGCGCTAGCTGCTCCCGGGAGGGTACTGAAAGTTTGGTGACGATCGGCGCAGCGGTTCTCGAGATATATCGAAAAAACTAAAGGGGGGGGGGGGCAAAAAAATACCCCCCCACCGCCTGGAAGGATATGGGCATAAATGCAGCCCCCGCTACTAAGGGTGAAAAACGGTATAACAAGCCGGTACTTACGGTATCGCGTCCACTTATGGGAGAGAAAAGGCTTCCATTTTCCACTAGGAATTAGCGTGATTTGATTAAATTTGGCGAATTGACTCGAAAATGGCGATAGGAAAACAGCTTTTCTGCAGGTTCTGGGCGTCAGAATCAGCTGGCCATTCAATAAATGGATTGGTGTTTTGAAAGAAAATTGTTAAAAGAATTAATTTAATTACAATAAACAAAGGTATTTAATTTTAAAATAATAACTTAACCAGAATTAGAAAAAACCATAAACAAAATAATAAAAATAATGACATTTTTTAAACCATGGTACTGCTTACATTTTTTGGCGTGTCTGTTTCAATCCGCCATATTTGGCAATCACTGATTGACCTTGTGTTGTAACTCTGAGATTTAGAGCCGCCAGTTAATTGTGCACCGAGTGAGTGTGGGCCTTGTGTGGTTAAAAAAATTCTTATGCCTTATTTTTTCATTTGAATGCTAGGATTGAATGCTAGGAAAAGATGAAGTTGTCTGATTTTATGACCATATATGGTCATCGCCCCGCCCATTCCAGCCGTTGATTGGCTAATCCAATTTTTGTTTGGCTCCTCGTAGTTTCCCCAACTGAGTTTGCACCCTTTAAAAACTGAATAAATTCACAAAACAAACACATGAAAGAAAGAACACATCCTTCTAAGATTGAAAAGTGAGACCACATATTGATACTTATACTTTTTGCACAAAACATTATAATTTACACCCAACCTCTTGGTGAGTCAGGTAGGGTCAAGTTATGTCAGGTTAGATAAGGTTTTGTTATTTCTGCTTGTATCATGCCTGATTTTTTAGCATTGAATAATCATTTGAACGATTTTCAAGGTTAATTTATGGTTTGTGACAATATAGTGTGGTTTTATTCAATTTTGAGCTTATGGTGCAAAAGAGTGATATCACCAATAATAGTATTCAGGGATAGAGCTCTAGCCGATCAAACCAAATTTTATCTTCAGATTGATGTATAGGTACATACCTACTAACTTTTAGTTGGTGACACCATGTCACCAACTAAAAGTTACCTACTCAGTCCGTCACCATGACAGGCTCAGTAGGTACCTAGGTTCAGGGCTGCTTTGTGCAGTTCCAGCTACCTTTGAAGGTGGCCAGTTTGCCTGCAAAAAGTTCCTTTATAACATCCAAGCTGCCTTTTTAAAACCTTGCATGACCTTGTTATTGCATGTTTGTGATAGATATGTGCACTGAGCAGTCATGTGTACTATCCATCAGCAATTTCAACCAATGCCAAGAAATCATCAACTGATTGGATTGTTCTATCATCAATTGCCGTTTTAAGTTTGGTGGCCATCTATGTCATTTGCATCTGTCATTTCATGCTTCCCTGATGAGTCTAGAATTAAACCTCTAAGCTGATATTCATAGCTGAGGTTTACCATCAAAATAATAAAATCCGAAAAAAACTTGGAAATCAAATTATGGTGACATGTTATTATGCTCCTCGTGGCATATTAATTCATCACTAGTTTCATGCTCTGGTCACCATGGCATCAAAAAGCACAAGTTTGACTATTGACTACCTTTTCACTAATGGTAAACTCAGACCTGTTGGTGCCCGGGGTGGGCAGTGAATGAAATTATTGGGTCACTATAAAGCATGGAAGATAATGCTTCCTTGCATCAATTTCTTAGTGTGCAGGTAACTGACAATATAACTATTCAGCTGCTCTCTGTTTTGTCAAAATAAGGAGACAAATAGCGTGTGTCACGCTGTGAGCACCAAGACGAGGGCTACTCATTAAATATGCTGTCTCAGTTAATTCATTACTAGAAGGAGGATGGCATTATCTTTATACACAGGGGCAAGGTTAAAATCGAATACCATGACCCCATTTCCATGGGCGTCACCGATCCGGATCAGTAAATTCAAATTGTATGATATTTCTCGAATTCTTCGTTACAGGATATAATTCAAAGTGGATTAGGCTGATAAAATAATTTGATCCCTTATTCTCATTTTCATATAGTGACTAACTATACTGGATAAGCTAATCCATTTTTACTGATCCGTATCAGTGATGCCCATGGAAACGTGATGCCCATGGAAACTGAATCAATCCTTCTGAATGGCCGACTCGTAAGATACGTGGACACTGAGTGGCACCCGTTTGATTCTGACCTCAGCCCCCCCCCCTCCCCCGCCCCCCTCCGCAGACGGACCAGGAGTTGGATTGTGCCCTGGATCTGATGCGGCGCCTGCCGCCGCAGCAGATCGAAAAGAACCTCTCCGACCTCATCGACCTGGTGCCGAGCCTGTGTGAGGAACTGCTCTCGTCAGTCGACCAGCCGCTCAAGATAGCCCGAGATAAAACGGTCGGAAAGGACTACCTGCTGTGCGACTACAACCGGGATGGGGACTCGTACAGGTAGGGACTAGCCACTGGCTTTTGTTTCAGTCTAATGGTGTGTAGGCATTGGTCGTGGTAGGTGTGGCAGATGAATCACCTATTGTGAACGCCGACTTGCGCCAGCCTGTTTGTGTGTGGGCAGTGAAACTATGATGGATTGTCGGACAGTGGTGCTGCGAGGACGTTGGGGCGTAGATTTTGGGGTATCGCTGGATAGTTTTCAAGTTCATACCGATGTGAGTCATTCTAGGTGGCTAGTAATGCCACTGAATTATTCATCTGTGCCACCTTTATCCCATATTCATGCAGCGTGGAGTTATTAATCAGTGGCCTATTCTAATGATATATTTCTGGTGACTTTAGCTTGAGTGATTGTTAATGTCTCTGCGATACAGGTTTTTTAGTAGTAGAGACTGAATTTCCGTTTGTTTGACGCAAACAATCTTCCGTCCATTTGCCAATGGATAGGCGGCAAACACGCCTCCTCCCCACCCTCACTCTATGTCTCCCAGCATGGCATCGCTATGCCATCTCCGTCTTGCCATGCCATCTCCCCAGCAGTGGTCTCATACTACGTAGACTGCTGTTGAGCACAGCTGGTCTTCCATCTCCTAGCCGCTGATCTGGTGACCGGTGCCCCCTCTCTATCTAACTCGCAGGTCGCCATGGGGTTACCACTGAGTAAAACCTCACCAACCCCTCCTTCCAGTCCCATCTGACCTACACGTAGCCATGGAGTAACCATTGGCTCTAACTTTGCTATCCTCCCATATCTGCCTGCAGGTCGCCGTGGAGTAACCAGTACGACCCGCCGCTGGAGGACGGAACCATGCCCTCGGACCGACTGCGGCGCCTTGAGGTGGACGCCAACGCCGCCTTCGATCAGTACAGAGACATGTACTTCGAGGGCGGCGTCTCATCCGTCTACCTCTGGGACCTCGACCACGGATTCGCAGGTAAATTATCGTCAACTGATATCGGACTGGGATGATGATGTGTGTATTGCCGCATTTAGGCGAGAAAATGTAAGCGGTTTGTCGTTCGATATTTTTTTGCATGATCTTTGATGAACATTTTGCGGTTGATTTCTTCATAATGATCTGCAGACTGCTATACCGCTGACTGCTCATAAGCCCTTGCTATTGTTTTGAATAATGACTAATATGACTGGGTAACTCACCGTTATTCGCTGAGCGTTCTTTTTCTCACCCCACCTTCCTCCTATACCCCCAGGTGCCATATTGATAAAGAAGGCCGGCGACGGCTCGAAGAAGATCAAGGGCTGCTGGGACGCCGTGCACGTGGTGGAGGTGCAGGAGAAGTCCACCGGTCGGAACGCCCACTACAAGCTCACCTCGACCGTGATGCTGTGGCTGCAAACCAATAAGGAGGGCTCGGGCACCATGAACCTGGGCGGCTCGCTCACCCGGCAGGTTAGTTGGACGGGGAACTGGGAGGATGGGAGGGCGTGCGTACTGGGGGGGGGGGGGGGGTGCCTGTCTTGGTCTGTAGCGATTGATAGGGTGTTCGAGGAGTATTAGATGTACGCTGCGACTTTGTCTAGAGTTGGTAAATGTGCCGTTTGGGATTTTCAGGTCAGAATAGACGAGGCATTGCCATATCGAGCAATAGACCCGTGGGCCATGGCAGATGCCTTTTTTTTATTCGTGAGCATAAAATACGGGCTAGTGTCTGGAACGTTTGAATGGATGAATTTGGTCCTTAGGATGTGTGTAGTGAAAATGATGAAAGGTCAATATGAATTGATATTTATTCATATCTTTTTTTTTTGCAAAAGCTTCGATGGACTATAGCACCGTGGAGCCGTCAAAGCACCATAGTTTCATGGAACTATCTGTCTAGGAACTACCGCGGTGTGACCGCCGGTGCTACCCCTCCGGCGCGGTGCTCTATCTATACTGACACCCCGTCCGTCCGTGTTCGCCCGCAGACGGAACAGGACGCGGTAGTGAGCGATACATCGCCCCATATCGCCAACATCGGCCGCCTAGTCGAGGATATGGAGAACAAGATTCGCAACACGCTCAACGAAATCTACTTCGGTGAGTCATTCAGCTCCTGACGAGGCTGGAGGAGCGTGAACGTTAAGGTTTGCTGCGAACGAAGAACGCTGCGGGATATTTTGAACAGGTTCGTTTTAATGCGACGTTAAGTTGTTTTGTGTCGCTATTTTTTACACTAAAGACATTTATTTTTTGATTATATTACGATGAAAACAGTTACGGTTTACTCTTTCTAAACCCATCAATCGAGCTATTCTGGCCACAGGCTGAAGTGCTGCGCAAATGTCGCCATGCCGGTCTAATCCGGCCGTGTGTTTGGTCAGTGATAGCCTGGCTATACCGTCAGCCGGTGAGCCGGTACTGTGGAGATATTGACACTTATTCGCCTGTTCTGGGTGCGGATAGGCTTGGGCAATGACACGGATACGTCATTGATTGTTGTTTCAGTACGGTGTAGCTTGCCTAAGTGTACCTGTGATATGGCCAGTAACATCCGTATCACCATACAGCGTTGTTACCTGATGTGCGCCGGACCGATAGCATACCTAAGTTACACCTCTTTTGGAACAGTGATAACCTTTTTGTGACTACCGTATAATGTTAAGTTCGTTGAGGACTGTGGATGCTCCCTTTATATTCACGCTCTTACTATCATTCTTTCTCATTCATCCTTCATGTTTGCCGTCCGACCGTTCGGTCGCGACTGCTCACCGCTCACGCTGCCCTCTACAGGTAAGACGCGGGACATTGTGAACGGCCTGCGGTCGGTGACGCCGCTCGAGGACAGCCGACGGAAGGCGGCACTGCAGACCGACCTGGCGGCCGCCCTGCAGAGGCGCCAGACCAAAACAGAGTAGCGCACCCGCCGCGCCCCCTGCACACAGACTGACGAACCGAGGTGGCGGCGGGGCCGTGACCAGCAGTGATGTGACGTGACGTGGCAAGTCAGCACGGCGCGCGTGACGTGATCGAGCGTGCCGGGGCCAGGGCGGATCGGTGGCGATAGAACTGTCGTGGGGCACCTGTGATGCACGTATCGGCTCCCCGAGGGACCGTGCCCCGCCGTAACGAGGAGTAGGACTGACGTGGCGCCCCTTCGCAGCCTGGCCCGCGCCCAACTGGAGTGTGACCGGATGGAGACCCGTGTGCCCCTGTATGATCGTCCCGCGTGCCCCCGTATGGGCGCCGAGTCCGGCACTGCCGCCCGCCCACCCCTGTTTATCCCAGTTTAGGTCGGCCGTGCGCGCCGGCAGCGCTGCTTGGGTGCTTGTGCGGTGCCGTGTGTGGCTGTAGAGACTGGGCGACGCGACCGCCGCCTGCTTCGGAGGTCACACGGCGAGCGCGGAGCGATTGAGAGCCGGCGCCAGCGTGCCGCCTCCAGTACCACGACCGTCAGCCGTGGCGTATTTATAAATTCACGGCTATGATTGTTGCTATATGAATAAATATTTTCAAGGAAGTGCGTCGTGTGCCCGCGAGCGATCCATATGCAGAGGAGCACGTACGGAGAGTATGCCGCGTGACTTGCTCCCCTGAGCGCCGCTTGATTGGCGGATAAAGAGCGTCTGTGGATATGGCTTTGGACGGCCTCGCCGGGCGAACTGTGATTCGGCTTCATAACTGGCATTGGTTTATCATAAGGGAAACTTCAGTGTTGTATTCAATTGCTGTCGTAAGTATCGGTTGGTTATTTGTGTCAAGTGACGATTAGCTGAAATGTATGCAACAACCTGATTTGATGGATTGAGATTTGAATTACTGTTGATTTGAAGCAGGGTGGTAGATGCTTGGAGTTTTTACATCATTTTCAGTAAAATATATTATTGACATAGACTCACTCGTCTTTTCCGTTTGTCACATTTGCAGATGACAACATGTTGGTCTCTGTTTGCAGTCATTTTCTGTCTCATGTAGCGATTTTTGCAATAAGAACATATACTTGAACGCCGTGTCATAAAACGGTAGGACTTTTGTCATACTTAGACGGCATTGCAGTTTTAAATGTAACCCAGGAAAATACAATACAGCTGAATGCGCGAAAAAATATAAAACTCATTTTGTTTTTTGGACATGTATAAAACATGTGCATTGACGGTTACTGTGGTGATCAACTGGTACGGTGGGAGGGGGGGGGGGATTTCCTTAGCCCCCAGGCACCAAACACTGAAGCACGTAGAGCGGTATGACGGCACACGTCGATGGCTGGTAGAATATGAAATTGAACTTTTGTTTCTTGCTCGATAGTTCCTTTCGTTCGATTGAAACGTTTCAGGATTAGGGTGTGATACTCGTATGGATCAATGGACCGAAAGGGAGACATGGGCCGATTCGACCGTGGACAGCTGCACCGCGGCGGCTGAGCCCGTCGCGCTGGAACGTGATTATCCCGCTGGGACAGGTCAGGTCACAGCCGCTCAAACAGTCCGATCCGAAGGGATGCTCCTAACTGGAGCCACCCTCCATCGGTTGGGTGGGTGGGGTGGGCCGGTGGTGGCAGAGGGAACTGTCAAGTGCCCGTGACGACAGCAGTTTCACGGCCGCCGGGACCTGAGCTCAGCAGCCTACAATCTACATCCGAGCTTGTCGACCTTTAGGTACAGAAACAACAGCCACTTTTAACTTTCGACACAGCTGAGAAGACAAGTTCACTGGCTGGTGCAAAGCCATTGCCCATTAATTAATTATTTTGCCGAAGGCTTTTACGGAAACCGATAACCTACCGAACTTTGGCCCTTGACCTAAGGTCACCAGTTGATGATTGGTGACATGATTGGCCATTTATTGGCATTCTCTGCCGCCTGCCTGTCGTAAATTATCGGCTCACGCTCAACCCCTTGTTTCTCCAAGGAAAATTTTGCTGAGATAGGTTGAATGAAACGGTGAAATGGTCCTACTGTAATCCCCCCGCCCCCGGCCGTCACATGTCCAAACCAATAGGTCCGGTGAGGATAGGTATAGAGTGTTTAACCAGAGCAGTTACTACGCTTCCTGAATTTAATCAGAACTTCTATAGTCATAATTCCAACGTAACTGCCAACTGGCTGGAAGTGAATATTTTGCTTTAGTTTAGAAATAATGTCACAAGGAAATGCTATGTCACACGGCACACCAAGGCTCATATAATGGGGTCATGGGTGTGAGTGTCTTCCAAAACTCGTCGGTGACACTGAAACCCCAAGATAAGTCATTAGTTGATTTAGACGGTGCATAAAAAATCCATCGACGCGTTGCCACCTAAACAAATCGATGTCCGGCCGGGTCCACCGTGCCCCGTCGGCCGGCCGCCGCCTGCGCGCGCAGGCCACCTGCGCCCGTGACGTCACACGGCCACGTAAGACGGCGACCAATCAGCGCCAGCCGGGCGGCCGGTGCGCGGCGGCAGTCGGCAGTGACCGGGCGGCGGGGGAGGTCCGTTGCGTCGCGCTCCGCTGCGCTGTGACCGGATTCTGCACCGCGACGCGCCCAGTGAGGAGCAGAGACAGTGCTTGAAGGCTGGGAGAAGCTCCGGAGATGGGGCTGGGGACGCTGACCCTGCTGCTGGCCGCCCTGGCCGCGGCGTCTGGAACTCTGTCCGATACAGGTGAGTGCGCGCCAGCCGCCGGCGGCGCGTGGCAGCCGCTGGAACCGTGGCGGCCGCCCGGTTTCGCAAGGGCACTCCGTTGTTCGTGCGGCGGGGACAGAGCGGACTGGCATTGGCCGACGAGCTACAAGGGGAAAAGGGAACGTACGCTGGTCCTTGACGGGGTATGCAGTGTCCTGTCCCATGCATGAGCCGCGTCGTAACCCCACTGGCAGCATTCAAGATAATTCATATGCAACCCATGCTACGCAATTTATGGCGGATATGCAGAACCACCACGTATTCTGTTAAAACTAACAACCTCTGCGAAACCCGTCCTTTGTAGCCTCCTGTCTCGGACAGAGTTGCCCTGAACCCGGAAGCTCCGAGCCGTGTCTAAAAGCGCTCTCACAATGCCCGGCGGCGCTGCGGACGTCCCCATGGCACATCAAGCTCGCCGGCCCAGCTGCAACTGTCCCCATGAATTTTGCGCCAGCCCCGCCCGACTATGGCGCCGGCATGCTGATGACATTGCCGTCAGGGCTGATGACGCCCTTGCATGTCGGCAGCTCGCCGGTCGCGGACCCGGGACCTCGGCTCGGCTAGGCACTGAGAACTGAGCTGTGGTGTGTGGGTGGGACGATGCTGTGAAATCTTTCCTTGTGTCAGCACCTATTCGACAATTCAGCAGGCCTCTGAACTCGTTGAACCCGTATAGATCTAGGGACCGTGTGTTGTCGGCTCCTTTTGTCAATTCTTTGAGGTGTTTTCGTTATGTAACGACACGGTAACAATTTCTTAGCCTCCATAACGACCCGTGTTGTGCTTCGGTTAAGCAGACGATGGCTATTCTGAGCCCGGAATGCAAATGCATGGCTGTTGTAGAGCAGTGGCAAGTGCATTTTTATGTGAACCTTATTACCATTTGGCCCAAGCTCCGCCAGCAAAATTATCGTTTCAGTAGCGATGCGACTATAGTGGAAGAGTGTGAAAGGTGCTGCACCGGTATGCACACTGTAACCGTCGTACAAGCTCTAAAGGCTGAAACACTTTCCGCAGTCAGGAAATCGCATGCGAGAGCTTATTCAAATACATGGAAGCACGCTCGCATCAATCGCACGCACCATTTCCTGAATGCGGAAAGTCTGTTTCAGCCTTTAATGGATAGCTAGCCCAGATCTAGCCTTTCTCTTTTAGCTCCGCTAAATGGCAATATTCACCAAAGCTCGTCTCAGGAACTCTCGGGTAAAATACATCATATTAGAGACAATGGCCCTTTCACCGATGTGTTCCAGTAGGTATATGTTGAATATGGTTCTAACTTCTACGCTTCTCTTCCACGCCTCGGTGAAACATACGCTTCTCGGGCTCAGCTCAAAAAGTTTGAACTGCTTTAACCACTGCTATCGGAGATATTGCGATATAGGTAATGAAGTATTGAACCCCGATGCAAAGTTCATCGTTCTACATCTACCATTGCTGCTCGTACTTCTGACTTTGTCAAGAAGATAACAGAGCCCACAACCATCTGTTGTTTGGATCTCTCTGACGCCATTCCTTCATCGCCTTTGCAATATCTGCATGACTGATGACACGTCCTTTGCCATATCTCCACACACGTCCTCCGTAATGTGAGTACATACATAGGGCAAGTCCCATTCGTGTCATGTCTCACAGACCCATTTCCTTGTCCTTCGTCCAGCCGGCCGGTGCAGGACACGGAACCAGCCGCTCTACCGTTATATAAGGACGGCCCTTCGTGCAATGCAGCCCGCGGACGTTGTTTTAAGTTCAGCCAACCCGTATAACCCGATTTGGCCAACTGCAGCTGTCTGGATAAGCACATGTTTCAATAGTCTCGAGGTGCTTGTTTCCGCTCCTGTGGTGTTGAAGAACCGCGACTGAGCTGGCGGATCGGTTGATGCTCTGTTGAACTGGAGTGGGTCACTCGATTCGTTGTTGAGCATGAGTTATGCGACGGCAAATGTTGGTACTGGGACTTATTAAGGTTGTGGTTGAATGTATTTATGCTATAGTGGAGGCATGGAAGTAGGTTCAATCGGTGGCTACCACAGGGTGCAGTTAGGCAACTTGACGATGTAGGTCTTTGAGGTCGTCCAGCTGTAACTTATAGCAGTAGCGGCGGAACACCTTCAGTTAAGGGGGGGGGGGGGCACTGCCGACTTTTGGTCCCATTCTTTTCATGCAACGCCGATAGGGCTATGTTAAAATGTCAAAATCAAAGGGGGGCCCGGTGCCCCGGTGCCCTCCCCGTTCCGCCGCCTATGACTTATAGGTATTATACAGTGCTTGTCATCTGAGTGCCTAGTTGGAAATGTGTCTGTCTCTAAGCGGCCTTAGACCCAGTTGAGCCGGACAGTTTAGGACGTGCCTCGCCAGAGCTTGTTTTCAGACGAATGTTTTGTTTTGAGTTGTCGTTTTGGGGCGGTAGCTGTGAATTGTGAAATGCGGCTTTTGTTTCACACGTGCTGCGTAGCTTATGCAAATTGTTTGATGCGTCTTACGGACGCCTAATGCTGCGAAATGTAAAATATGGGATTTACTCTCAAAGGCAACTGCACTGCAGTATAACATTTTGTTGGCGCACTCATGACAGGCGTAACTGCACATCGCGCACCGCAAAAATCACTTAGTGGCTACAAGTTACAAAAATGTATCGTGATGTCTTGTATTTGTTGTGAACAGCGTTCTTGCAGCGTTCATTCTATCAAAACGGTTTTAATAAGCAAGAACAAGGACAATATTTGCTCTCTGTAATATAGCGCACGGGATTCAGTTTCATGGCGTGGGACGTTTGCCCGTCTTTCCGAAAGTCAGGACGCTGCCTCGCTCTCGGAGAGTAGACGGTTGCGTGACTTGGAAATCCTGTTCCGTGCCACTGACGTGTTGAATTTTGGCTACCATTTCTTAACAAGTTACTTAGCTGAACGGTACAGTTGACCGTTATTCTTGAGAAATGGCATTCTGGCTGGAATAACCATATTTTGCTGCTAAACATTCTTGACCCCGGATACCCAATGGCGGTACAAACGTATCCCGGATCATAATCAGCTCATATCTAGGGGATATCGTCCATAGGATATTATAGCAAATGCTCTTAACGTAGTCCTCTTAGACTGTTCATAGCGGTATTATAGGATCATAGCAAGAAAAGTGCTGACAGGTATTCGCGGAGGTTTTCCCGAAGTAATAAAATTGCTTCTATGTAGAATGAATAGGATAATCTTTGTAGACGCTCCGCTTCATTGGGAGAAAGG